GCTATCTTGAAAGAATATCACCATCTGGAAGAAGTATTATCTCACTTATCTCTTCCTCTTTCTTTTGATCATTCGTTTCGTTGTTCCGTCATAATGTACTGAACAAATAGCCCCCATATTGAATGTTCTGAATAACTTGCACATCCTCAGAGCATTACACTTTACACTTGCTAGATCAGCCTTAAGGCAAATTTATCTATCGTACGTCATACTTGTTATCCAATACAGACTAGTTCTATATGGCAGCATTGCTCAAGCGAATATCGAAAGATTAGAGAAATTACAGAATGAAGCTCTTCTGCTTATATTGGGAGCTTGCCGTGGCACAAACATACTGAAATTACAAGTAGAACTTGGTATACCATATGTGAGACAGTTATAAAGCACAGCAAATTATTATTTATTTACAAAATCGTGCATAACAGGACTCTTACTTCTTTCAGAAATTTCATCGTTTTAAAACAGGATATCAGCACTCGGAAGACGCTATACTTTAGATATACGTACTGCAATGTGTCATACCAATCATGTCGAGAAATCAGTTTTAGTTAGTACCATTCAAGACTAGAATGACCTAGATCATAACATCCGTTCTAACAAATTCTCCATAAAGTTAAGCAAAATCTGAATTTTCTATCATTTCCATCGAAATGATTTTACATACACACTTTTTTTGGACATACACGTAATATTACTCACATGACAAGGATGCGGTTAGGACTTAGTTTTTTTCAGCGGATCAGTATAAGCGATATTTTGTACCCAGCCCTTTATGCCAGACTTGCATCATTCTCGAAACAGCGGAATGTTATTTTATACGTTGTACATGTTTTGTTCAAGAAAGATGACAAATGTTAGTTAATTTTACATTAGTTACAGGCACAAATTTTTACCTTAGTATAGAATAGATTTTAAAGCGGTATGATTCCTCGAGTGTAGAACAAAATTGTTTCTTACGAGGGAAGGCCACCAAGTGTTCCCTCGCTTTCGAGCTGAGACTCAGTTGACCGGGCATAATCGAGCATCTGATTGCGAATTTCATAATGGTTTGGGCTAATTTTGACTTTAAAGTCCCGGTTTTTGAAGATCTTGGTTTTCAAGCCGAGAAACCATTTGCACTAAAAATTCTTTTTGATCTGTCCGGTTGATAGAGTACGTCGCGAAACCGTCAGAAAACCACTTTTCAAGGTTTCATGAGGCTTAAAAAAAGAGAGGAAAAACCGGCTTTTTTACGCAGTATAGTGCAAAAATTGCTCACTCGATCGATCACTTTTCGTTCGATACCGAACACATGTAGTCCTTAGTGAGACTAGAAAAAGCCTACAAGAGATTGAACTTCTGAACCTTTTTCTTGGGTTACAGCCGACTTCATCAAATGCTGTTACACAAACGCGTATCTTGTAAGGAAAGCCTTCAAAAATTATGAAATGCGTAGAATGTAGACATAGACTATATTCTACGCGTAGAAGATCAATATCATTCTCTCTCCTTTCTTTTTCTCTTCTTTTGCAGAAAGAGAAAACACAATCTGAAAGTATATACAGGTCTAGATGCTCGTACACACGAGTGAAGAGGAGAAAATGAAAGAAAGAGAAAATGCTTGCGTTGTTATACCTTACCACATTTTTTGCCTTCTCATGCTTTTTTCCTTTCTCTGGCCTTCACAGTATTTTTCTGCATCGTCATCGAAGACAGAACGAAAGTGTTTGCACTGGTCGTGTTAATACTCTGACTTGAAATAGCATTTTGCTTATACTGAAATCTAAACAAGTAAGTGGTGTGATCAGAGACGCTGTAGCTCTTACCAGGAGAGAGAAGCGGTGACAGGGTTACCAAAGAGATGCAATCTAAGAAAGAAGAAAAAACGAGAATCTTCCAACGTCAGTCTCAGAAGTATCTTTTTAGGTGATCACTCAACCCACTGTCGTTTAACTGATTGATTTGATTACCTCGATCGAATAATGTCTAAAGTAAAGAGAGTATTTGGTACGGGAAGTTTCAAAAAAACAGGGAAAGGATTCAACACATCCGAACAAGTCTCTCAAGTTCTTAATGTTCTCAAAGAAAACTGAATTGATGAAATCGATACGGCAAGATTCTACGGAGGAGGAACAAGCGAAGAATTGCTTGGTGAAACAAAAGAATTCAAAACGTTTGCAGTTTCCACCAAGGCAAATTCATTTACGGAAACGTTGACGAAAGAAAATGTCATCGCACACTGTGACGCGAGCTTAAAGGCAATGAACCGATCCTCCGTTGATATCTATTATCTTCATACACCAGATCGATCAACGCCTTTCGAAGAGACAGCCGGCTCGATAAACAATCTATACAAACGCGGAAGTTTCAAGAGATTTGGTCTTTCCAATTTCACCGCCGAAGAAGTTGAACGAATGTACAATATTTGCAAAGAAAATGATTACGTTCTTCCATCAGTGTATCAAGGAAATTACAATCCAATCACACGAAAGAATGAGCAAGAATTATTTCCACTTTTAAGAAAGTTACTAATACATTTCTATGCTTACTCACCACTTGCTGGAGGTTTCTTAATCAAGACGCCAGATCAAATTAAAAACGCTCCAGCTAATTCTCGATTTGACGCTTCCACTCCGGGTGGTCAATTTTACGTAGGTCTTTATTGCAAAGAGACCTTTTTCTCGGCACTAGAGGCATTTCAAAATCGTTGCAAGAAACTTAATATCAAGCCTTCGGAAGCCTGTTTCTCATGGCTACTGAATCATTCACAACTGAAAGAGGGAGATGCAATTATTTTGGGAGCAACCAATATGGAACAACTTACGGAAAATCTTCGTGATTCTAGAGGAGTTCAGCTCAGTACGGATATCGTTCAAGAACTAGAAAACTTATGGAAAGCAGTAGAAAGTGAGGCACCAGAGTATCACATGTAAAGTGATGAACATATTATGGACACGGACTAACAGTCTATTTGATCTTATCCTTTTTATTTCATTACTTTAATAAACAAGCTCTATGATTTTAGTCGAAGAAATGATTCGTTTTTAGTTTGCACGTCGGGGGGAGGGTGTGTGTGTGTGTGTGAGTCTAGCAACTATGACCGGTTCCGACCTTGCTAAAGGGTCTCATCAGATAGTTTTGACTTTACAATTATTCAGATGATCCGAAAATCACAAATAAATTGCCTAATCTACAAACTTACAACTATTTCTTAGAGAAAAAGTCGCATCAGTAGATATCTTTTCTGTTCTCAATGAGCGTAAATAAACTTATACGTAATATACCGATACAAAGCGTCATCTTTCATTCTCGTTGATGATGAGGAGGAGTAATGAGAACAAAACGACAGCATGGTTATTTCATCGTCATGTGATAGCGCAGTCTGGATCTCTCAATCTATTTTTACTTCTTCGTTTTGAAGCAGAGAAACTGTGATAAGGAAAACTATTCAGAGGTAATAGCCATTTTTTCAGGTTTTTATCCGTATAGACGACCGATACTCAACTCATCGACAAAAAGCGATAGTTTTCAAGGTTAATGTGATTCAGAGCAAAGTGCTGCTTTATTTAGATTATTCCAATCGTGATACTGAATTAATTAGAATAGTATCTAAATGTTGTATACATGTTAGAATTGACCTCGTTTCCCACAAAGATATTATTCATCCTTTATTATTTCGCTATATAAATTGAAACTACTTTTAAACTCACGCGCACCTTCAAAAATAGACCTCTTTCTAACACTCTTTTCATCATCCAACCTTGGGTATACCATTTGAAGTCTATTTTCCTTACATACGCCAGAGTTTCAGCGATTACCGTCATCTCCTTTGAGAAGCGTATAGTAGGTTACAAAACCCAAATAAACTACCCACTGGTTTTAATAATACAAACATTTTCGTTCCTCAAACGAGGCTTTTTTGAAAAGCAAGAAGAGATACATACGGGGAAATATATTCCTATTGCTATTCCACAAATCACATGATGAGACGAAATAAAATAATCTTATTTTATTTCTACGGTTCTTCATTGACAGTTATATCTTGAGAATGAGGGTGTGAGGGTGAGTATCATGAAAAGACAATAGCCACGACTAGTTTCGCCCTTTCTCAAGGGTCTCATCAGGTTATTGTTCCGATGGGCATTCGATGACAGATGCGGCTGAAAGACGTAAAATATCAACAAATAATATCGAAATATAGCTACGAATCGCAACAGTCGAAACTACATGCGATGGAACCGGATATCCATTTTTAAGGATCACTAACGGAAGCATTCACCTGTGTGTGTCTGTGAGTGTACCTACTTATGTATAGTAGGTCGACCTTGTATTATTTGAAATTATACATACTTTTCGACATTTTCGGCATTTACAGTTATTTTCAACGAACATAGAAACGATGCTTTGACTGAAAACCCCTTTCATTCTTTTTCTTCGAAGAAATAAAAAATCAATTCATATATGAAATAAATTGAAGCTGTGCTCGGCGGAAAACTGAAGAGTGATTAATCACTCTCTACTTTTCACTAGTACTGGAAAACAGAAGGTTTTGTAGCGAGATATTTTGTACACAGATGCTTTAAAAATAACACTTAAAACATCATTTGTGTTGTAAGTTCTTAACCATATAAGTAATAGAAGAAGTGTATTAGCGTGGAGACGATTAGAAGGTAGACGAGCACGAAAAACCCTCAATTTTTGAATACTAAATTAAACGAAAACGGGATATATGTCACAAAATGCTGTGGTTGTTATGCCGGTTAAGGAACAAAATCTTCGAGGTGTAGATGCTAATTCAGTAAATAAATCTGTCTGTCAATAAACTTCTTTCGTAGTGATCAACTGACATTGTCATATGATAAATTGTACTGCGTGTTAAATATGGTATAATTCTTAAAAGAAGTATTAAATGTTCACAAAGTGTTTTGATTTCTTGTTGTTGTAATTGATTTTCGTATAAAACATCGATTAATGGAAATAGTATTCGTAAAAAAAACTAAACATTTGCAACCCTCGAAGAAATGCATGTCGATTTCGACGCGCAAGAGGTTGAGAAGGATCCATGTTATGTTGAGCAAGCGAGAAAAAGAGAAGCGGTGATGCAAGGTGAACGAGTGTGTTTTTAGACACTTTTGTTTTTCTGTAATTTTCAACAAAACTAAACTAGTTAAAAGACAGACGTTTGTGTAACAAAAAGGCATATCTGACGTCCAGTATATATCTAAAATGTCTAATATTTAAAAATATTTGTTTAAACATCATTACAATAGTCATATATGTCATCTGACGTCCAGATAGATTTATCATTTCTGAATATTCACTAAATGATGCCTACGATAAGTATATCAAAAACAAAACGTACCTATATAAAAGTTTCACCTGTCGAAATAGAAATTATTACGGGTTTATATGATCTAGGTTATATGCGAGCAAGAGAAATTACGGAACAAATATTGACAACAGATTATGGACAGATTACAGCATATTATAAGACATTAGCAGAAGCGAGTCGATTTAGAAGAGTTAATGACGTTTTAAAACAGACTGCTCAACGGTAAGTTTATAATTTAAATAATTTTTTCTCCTAATTAGTTCCTTTTCTAATTCAGTTCGAGTTGGAGACTTGAATTGTTTCGTACGTCAGCCAACAAATACAGCTGATTACATTAATTTTCATGGTCAAATTGATCCGAATGCTGAAGAAATAATTAGTACTTTATTAAAAGAAGTACAATCACAAAATTATTCACAAACAACAACGGTATTTCTACTATTTTTGTGCTTTAATCTTAGTAAAACTAATGCATATTTCAATATTTCAAGGCCTCGGACATATTTTTAATAACGTTTATAGGAATAAAACAGACTTCCAAACTTCGACAAGACTTTCGAAATATACAGTAGTTTTAGAAAGATCGAAGCATGTACAGTACACATTGAAGAGTTCGCAAAAGTTAAAGTTGGTCGAAATCGGCAAAAACTTAAAATAGTTATAAACTGGTGCGATGTTTATAAATCAGTTGCAGGTTTATAAATCGGAATCAGGTTTTTTTAAATCCTGTCTAGATTTATACCTATTTTAAATTTTCAATGAAAAGTTAAAATAGTTATAAATTACTATTAATAAATCGGTTTATAACTCGATCTATTTCGGACTGTTCGATGACAATACCGCTAACGCTTATGATAAACAATTTCATGATGATTTATCATTGAATTTAAATTCTGGAACGAATGAAAAAGATCCGAGTTGTTCTGGTGAATTATTAGATCAAAAGGTCGATGATAATGGAACAGATGAGCAACGGTCTCTGTGGCTTTGGTCGACTGGCACGAACAAAGCCAGGATAGAACGTGAATTCCACCGATCCGGTAACATTAACACACAACTCTCGAATGATGTTTATGTAGGCTACCGTCGTCGTGTTGTGTAACCCACTGCGCAGAATATCTTCGACCAATTGTGCATTGAAGCGAAACAGCTCTTACATTCGAGGCGGCGCGGACGCAGCACGCAATTGCGGCATTGCTTCTCGCAGTGCATCAGCACCGGGCGTCAGGTTCCATTCGATTTCATCTTTTCCAGTGGGATGTGATTCAACGGAAGCTTTCAACGTGAAAATATCACACCAGCACCGAGAATCAATGACTCTGTAGTTCGCTCAAGGTGCTGCAATTCTTTGATGTGTGTCGCCGATATAAGATGAGGATATTTTCGTTGTTCAAATTTGGTTTCGATTCGCACTCGAGTATTGCCAAAGATAAGTTTCGAAGCATCATCTGGATACGTGTGACGAAGATCAAGTAGTTCTCGAAGTGATGCGGGACGATAACAGTCAACCGGGGAACCTAGACAGCGATAAATCTAGCTGATCCAAGAGTCTAATGAGGTGCTATCTTTGATGTGAATGGACTGAGGAGTGTGTTCTTTCAGTTTTGGAGGAAATGCCATTTGTTCAGGTGGTGATGTATTTTGCTTGGCAAACGAAAGACATTTGTTGAATATCGTCGATGTGACTTTTGATGATTTTTAATTTAGTAGTTTGTCTGTATCCCTTGCAAACGTTTTGGCGGTATCGAGGATCGGTCGATAGCCAGTACATTGACAAATATTTCCATTCAAAGATTCTTCAATATCTTGCACGGTCAGTGGTGGAGCATTTGTTGATGTAACTGTGCAGTAGAGAGACATGACCATATCCGGTGTACAAAAGCCATATTGTGAACCAAGCAGCTCGGCAAGGCAAGATTGAGTCGGATGAAGGTTCGACTTGCTCGTTGAACCCAATCCTTCCACAGTGATGACATGACATCCATCCACAGAACAGAGTAGCGCTAAACAGCCATTCACCGTCGATTTCACCCGAATTTCGATCGATACATCGTGAAACGAGCACTGTACATGCTCCACAACCACCTTCGGCACCAACTCTTTAAATGGCATACAATTTGAGATTGTTCAAAATATTTATCTTAGTTACTGTTTCTCAGATACCTGTGAAGTTATTCCTTTCAGAATCGTTTTGCATCCAATGGTTAATAGCCAAAGAAGAATGTAACTGTTACACACACTTTATTTTAGTAAATTAACAACTATATATAGTATATTTCAGCTGCAGGACGATCTCTTATGGAAACTGGGAAAAACACATATTGTACAAGAGAGGGAGCGAGAGAAGAATAGGAATGAAAAATACTCATCGAAGAGTGATCAAAAGGAGAAAACATATATCATATAAAAGAAAAGTGACTACATATAACAAAGGAACAGAAAGGGAAAATAACCATCGAGTGAAGAGAAGAATATGTATATTGAAAGATGACAACTGTTGATATGAGATTTGGTTTATAATTCCTAGCATACCAAAGAAGAGTCCAATTGGGCTCGGTATGACGCTCAATCACTTCTTTTCTACTAGTGAGCTCAAAACATGCCCAAATCGCTAGCTTTTTTTGTTGGAACTAGAGACATTTCTCTGCGATATCAGACGCCAGAAATTATCGTGTCCAAGATGAAACAGCTAAAAGAACAAATTAAATCAAAATATTCTAACATAAAACAAATTAACATTATCGCTATCCCTTCTCGATTCGATAAATCGATTCTAGCAAAAATTAAACGTTACAATTCACTGTTATCATCAGCATTTTCAAATGATAAATCTGTTAAAATAGCCGAAATTAATCTGACTAAACATCATTTAAGAATTGATAAATTACACCCGAATGACGATGGAAATAAACAAATAACAAGTATACTAAAAGACATACTTTAGGACAGAAGCAGTTCTTCTCCTGTTTTTTCTGTTCGTATGCAAAGTGTGAATCCGCTGCAGCCAGCTCACGGTTGTGTGTCACAATGTTGAGGCCTTGAGGGAAAATATCGATGCTCTGAGGGTCTTTGCTGCTGAGCAAAGCCCTGATGTTATTTTTTTATAGGAAACGTTTTTGACAAATGTGGTTGAGGATAAGGAAATGAGCATAGTTGGACATAGATGAAGTCGTAAAGATAGAGAGAAAACAGATAGTACGAATCCTAGAAGAGGACCAGCCGTAGTCTAAAAAGTACACGATTGCATGCGCCTCCACGAGTTCTAGCTGACACTGTGCTTTTTAGCCTTGGACCAAGTTCGGAAATGAATCTGGGGAGCTTTTACTGCAAAAGTCAGCTTTTTATATGTGAAAATTGGGGTATTTTAAATTTTTCTTTCAAATGGTTCGCTTATTTTTTAAATGAACTACGCCATTTTGTAGAGCTCGTCAAGTTCTACTTGGACCCAGTAGTTTCCAGTTTGGACCAAGTTTTGAAGTGAATTTGGGTGGAAAATACTCGAATCTGGTGCTAACTTACCTACATAATTGCAACACAATCGAGTGAAAACCGATACTACTATTCGTCCAAAATACAAGGCCATTAGTTACTTTTTGAATAACTTTTGGTAGCAGATAGACAGAGAACACCGGTTTTCAGTTTTGAAGACTAGATACGTGACCGCATACTTTCGTGAGCAAAAACGAATTTCGGAAAAAATTCCGAGTTTCTCAGCAGATCTTTGGAAAATCACTTCGGTTCTCTGAAAGCTGGTATAGAAATCTATGAATTGTTTTACGTGGATATATAGTCCGAAGTGTCTTCTACAAAACTAGGTCTAAGCGACATCTTAGAAATTCATGGTTTGGAAGCTATAGATATTTTCTCTGAAGCCTTAGGACTCCTGTGCCATTAGGTTTGGAACTGTCAGAAACGAATGAAAACATAGGTTATCGACTATGCTGAATCTCGTGGCAATCTTACTTTTCAGAACAAAATGCAAGAACCGAGTGAAGACCTATACTAGGTGAAATATCCGATTTTCGATTATTTCATCACAAATGAAGCAATTCATAATTCAGTCAAAATCCATCTAATCTACTTCCGAATGTCAGGAAACATTCTATTTTATCTGCAGTCCAATAAATTCCCAGTAAAGCTCAATAAACATTGAAAATGATTTTTCTATTACCTATCTATGGGTAACAATGAAATTTCTCCATGAATTTGGATAGTTTGAATTCAAATTTATTTTAAACCATTTGATAAGACCCTTGAGCAAGGTCGAAACCGGTCATGATAGCTTACCTCACCCTCACCCTCGTCGCGGGGCGTGAAACCGGTAATGGCTGCCAGTTATAGTTTTATATGTATAACAGAATAGTTGAATCTTGTAATTTTTTAATCATATAGATTATAAGCCAACTGATGAGCCCCTTAAGCAATGACGAAACCGGTCTTGGTAGCTGTTCTCACCCTCATGTAACGGTCATTGACCGTTATGCTTAACCTGCCTAACCTATTCACCGTGGGCTGATTTTCTCTCTCTTTGTTCTCTCATGTGTGACCACTTCTATATAAGTTGTATTGAATAAAGCAAAGACAGAGTTGTGAGTGTGTGGATAACACACATCGCTATTATGCCGAAAGGCATAGGCATTCACTCTCTCAATTCGTTACACCTCACTCCTCAAGATTTCTATCTTATTCGTATCAAAAGTAATTCCAAAAATATTAACTCTTCCTCTTTTGTTGAAATGGACAATAGCACATATCTCATACTTTTATAAAAAATTCTTTACGGTATCACAGGAATGATATAAAATGTTTTTTCTATTGCTCTTTCACCAGTCATACAAGTTTATTTATTTTCAGGAACTTTAGATAACTTTCTGAAGAAATGCACGTTCGAAAAACATGTCCATTTCTCAAAAGTGATTCCATCATGGACCCTTTTTCTTCCGACAAAGACGTTTATTTACATATTTTTAATTTTCTTTATTCCTATGTATAGCATGTCATCTTAGCTTCAAGTTTTCTCTAGAAAGTTTTGTCTTTGCAACTTTAGTTGAGCTAACTTTTTCCAATCTTTACACAAGACTCAAATTCGAAGTCCAATTTTTGTCATTTCGTCATGGATATATATTTTGTTCATGAAGTCATCAAAGAAGCTTGAAGTCTGATGAAACTTTCATAATGTGTACAGCAACTCAACTTAGATATATTCAGAAATTTTCAGCTTCATCTGACTTTGTCCCGTTCCGATATTCAAAATACAAAATGGTAAAACGTGATTCCGTCATCCTTGGACAGGTTGATTTGCCACATCAACAATCATCATTGACACTTCTTTTTCTCATTTTCGATAACACAAAAATCTATCAGTGAGGATATAAAATACGTAATCGCAGCTGTTCTCCCCACACAGTACCGATATTATCATTACATCATATGGTTTCTAACATATATAATAGATATAACTAAATCTTCTGATTCTATTTAATCATATAGACTATTCTATAATGGCTCAGACGTCAAGATAAACGTTTAAAAGAAATATTTACTTGTGTGCAGATTGTTATGCAAACACCTCTATACTTTTCTATAGATGTCACATGTATACATAAACAATACTTTCGAATCCATACATTAGCCACAAAAATGTCGCACAGTAACAGTGATCCTAGTCATTCACCGATTTGTATCGCATCATCTAAATCCAATATATAAGCAATTCACATATATAATAAATATGTGCTATTCGGATTATATCGAATAGTTACGATCTCCAAGTCATCTGACGAGTCCCTTAAGCAAGGACGAAACCGGTCATGGCTGCTTATTTTTGATTAACTCAAACCCTCTATGGAATCCGTGTTTTTTTCTTATGAGTCTAGTCAGTTTTTATGCTGAACATTAATCTGATATTGCATTTCGTTTATTCAGACCAAAGTCAGAATAAAATAATGAGGAAACAACTGATTCACTAGTATTGGAATCATAAATAATCATTTGAATTCAATGGACTCACATTGATAAAGATCATGTTCAGAGACATTCTGAAGGCTTTTGGGAATCTGAAAATTTTTTAACTTTGTCAAAGTAAATTTCAGGAAGTCGTTTATGTTCACCACAATACCTTTTTGAGAGTCAACAAGTCCGGAAACCATTTCAGTTTCCGATGATTTTTTCGAAAACCAGAAGGGTATTCTCGGATACCCTTTTGATACCAAATCGGTGGTTTCGACTATATGGGTTTCCTAAAATACTTTTAGAATACTCAAATGAGTATTTTTCGAAACCCAAGGGTTTGCGAAGGCTCGGAAAGCAAGAAGGTATTATCGAAGACTCTACATGCGGTCGAAAACCCTGCCGGAAACCTTGCTGAGTTTTCGAGCGGGTTTCCGAACGTGTTTCGATTTTCTGGGATACGGATATTTTCCAGAGTGTACTGCTCTTATAAGGCTGTCGTAACATTGAAACTGTTGGTATGACCTCTAGTCATATGCTGCTGATAGCGGTTTGTATTAAGATTAGTATTCTATCAAAATTATAACGAAAAAAATTCAAGAACAGAAACAGAGAACCGGAATGTAGATTCAGACAAACTTTAATCTTTTTCTAAATTTATTTCCTAACAACAACACGAAGTAACAACAGCCAAGCAATACATATAGAGGGACAAGAATCAACGAGCAAAAAATTCAAGTAGTATAAATAAGAGTGCACAATTGATTTTCTTGACTTTAAGTCAACAACTTCAACAAGAAATAGCGGTATGGAGAAATAGAAAAAAAAAGAAAGAACTCGATGTAAAGAACAAAAGAAATACAATAACAGGAAGACTTTATTCTGATTCCATACTCTAATAGAACGTATCCTGTTTAATTATTCACATCGACGATTCTTTGTAGACCATTTAATTACATGATAATTGTTACGGATGGATTGCACCTACTGACTTAACAGATATTTATAAGCAAGAATATTCGCAACGAATCCTGTTTTTTTTATAGAGTATTAGTCTTTCAATTTGGGTTATGGATGCAATACAGAACTTAGTTGCGAAAGCCCTGTCAAAATTTGACACGAAAGCTCTGTAGAGAAAATAGCAACTGGATCTTCGAGTTACGAAAGCCCTGGAAATTTCTCGTTACGAGTTGATATAACCCCCGCTTGGTCACATGCCAATTCGGTCATGTTATCTTAACCACTTGTCGTTTTCGTAATCGATCTTATAAATTAGATACATTGAAGCAATTTTTCCAACGGAAAATAGCTCTCATTTTTTGCTGAACAACGATTGTTTGACTTTCTGTCTGAGAAAAATGGATTAGTTGTACAATGACGATATGTTTATGTTACATGATCGGCATTAAAAGAACAGAACTTGTAAGAGAAAGAGAGCGCGTATTTGAGATAAAAAGAACACATGAATATAGTTAATAATTAACAAGGGTTTTTCATTATGTTTGAAAAAACAGAATGTAAATGAAGCAAACTCGAATGAAAAAAGCACAATTCATATAATAATAATAAAAGTAATAACATCAATTTCAACTGATTGAAAATTTTCTATCCAACATTAGTCAACGTTAATTAACCGATATATAAGAAAAGACTAGCACGAATCGAAAAATCGACTTGGGTCGCTTGCTTTTTACAATGATATATTTAACCCTTTGGGGACGGGTGACGTTTTAAAACGTCATTAAAACGTCAAAAATCGGAATAAGTCGTGTTTTCCAAAACTTTCTTTTGAAGAAACGTCTCTCAAAACT